CTGGCTTTCGAAGGAAAAGTATGATCGGGCAGTTCATCGAGATCGGAAAGCTCGGAGCGATGTTCCCGGTGTACAGCACGATCTACATGCTCTCGCCAACGTCTCCGATGGGTCTGTTCATGAAGAAGCCTTTTGTCAAATTCATCTGCCACTCTTCTTCCTACGCGTTCTTCTTAAGTAAGTCTTCTTGGCTTCTGATCAATTCTATTGATCAAAAAACTGGTCAAATTTTCAACATACTCCCTAGATCCACGATAATTAAATTTAACTGACTGAATAGTCATTAAATGATTAAATAAATAATTCAAAATAACTGGAACTTGATATTCAGCAAATAACATGTTGCTGCACAACTCGAACTATTCCCATCTTCTTTTCTCTGGTCAAATCAATTCAATGGACCCTGAATAATAAAAGAACAAGTTTCTAACGAACCTCGTTCTAAAAATAAGAAGAGAAAAAAAATTAGAATCGGGCGTTTGACTTTTGATCAGGCAAGTTGTAAAAGAATAAAGTCTTCACTCAGCTGCGAGCCTTTCGTCGACGAGAAAGCCGCCTTCCGCGGCTCCTAAAAGAATTAATTGTCGGGAATTTAGTTATAATGAGTAAGGTGAACTCAAACCGATGGTTAACCATCGGTATACCATCTGGTATACTGATTGAAATTTCCATCAGTGCTTCTCGGAATGGCGTCGCAGCGTATCGAGTACTTGGCAATCGAATTATTCGGCAACGATTGGATGCTCGAGATACTGGCTGGATGGAAGAGACGGGAACGTGGATGCATCCCAGGCTTCGTCGAATCCGGTGTCATCATCTACGTAATCAGTAAGCAGATCTTGATGGATGCTTCTTTAGAAAAAAGAAAGAAGAAGGACCATTTCTTCGCTTTTCGTTTATTTTATTTTACTTTGTTTCGTACTATCTTGTTTTTGTTTTGCTATATCATATTATTCGACAAAGGTAACTTTATTTTATTTTATTCTATCTTCTGTTCCACTGTTGAATGAATACGCGTGGTTTGTATTGTGACTTGTTTTAGAGTGATTAGTTTAGAGCAGAGTAATTAGCTTGAATCTTTTTTTTAGGCTTGGTTGTCGGGGAAATAAGATCATTGTGGGCGGATGGGTTGCTGGAGTACATATCGGACCTTTGGAACATAGTGGACTTCATTCAGAATATGTTTTACGTGATTTGGATAATGCTAAGGGTAACCGCGTGGATTATTGTTCAGGTACATACTTTTAGTAATAATTATTAACGTATGTGCGGGAAAAGTTAATATATCACATTTCTAAAAAATATGGAAGAATCAGACATTAATTGATGATATAACGAACAAATTTTTATATTGTTTGTTTCGTAGAGGGAATACTGGAGTGGCGTAGATCCTTGGTACCCCAGAGATCAATGGCATGCCTTTGATCCCATGCTTCTTTCGGAGGGTGCTTTTGCTGCTGGTATGATCTTCAGGTAATTATCAAAAATTTATTCGCTCCACGACGAAATTAAAGAAATTAAAATTAACTTAAGAAAACATTTCATTTCAAAAATTCGACTTCAAAAATCTGTAACTAACAATAAGAACCTTTCCGTATCTATCAGAAAAGGCTCTTCTTTTTAATTCATCTTCAGTTAAATATATGCAACGTAATAAAATATTTGATCAAACGAAGGTGACGTTGATTTTAAAACGCTTGAGCTATGATCTGCTTGCAGTTTTTTGAAGCTAGTCCACATATTCAGTGTGAACCCCCATCTTGGACCACTTCAGATTTCTCTGGGCAGGATGATAATAGACATTATCAAGTTCTTCTTCATCTATACTCTGGTGTTGTTCGCCTTCGGCTGCGGTGAGTAACTTGCTCACGTTCATTATTCACCTGTAAGTTCGTCGATCTATGTTCAAGTCAGAAACACCAAAGTTCTAATATTTAAAATGAAAAAAAAGGGGAGAAAAAA